GAGGCCTAAGGGCCGAAATTAAGGGCCCAGACTTCAAACCCTGAACCCTAAGCCCTATACCCTAAACCCTAAACCCTCAACCCTAAACACTAGACCCTAAACCGCACGGTTGCTCTCATTCATCCTGGGTCATATCTTAGGTTGGGCCCCCACCCACTAATAGGGACCACAAGAGGTAATGGTAAGTATATTTGGTCCCATGTATATTCCTAGTTTAGGGTTTAGGGTTTAGGGCTAGTATACTACTATTAGTCCCAACCCAAGTCATATCTCTTGTCTTCTGTCTCTTTGATGGAGGGGGCATGCCAGAAAAAAAGCTCAAGCCTCAATATGAGTTATAGTCTCACCTACTAGTATCCCCCTGAATATCCCCTACTCCCCCATGTAAGCCAACCCCCTTTGACCCTGAACAGTCGCTTCCTTTTTCTGCTCAATTATCCCAATGTAATCCCCTCCCAAACCCTTCTATTTGCTTCTGGCCTCTGCACTGGCCTTGGGTACTCCACGCGGCGGCTTCAGCCTCAAGTGGCACAAAGCAGGCTCCTCCTCCTCCTCTCTGTTAAGGTTTAGGGTCTGGGGTTTAAGGTTTAGAGTTTGGGGTATAGGCTTGAGGGTTTAGGGTTTAGGCTTTAGATCGATTTAGGCTTTAGGGTCTGCTTTGGCACAAACCTGCTGCTACCAATTTCTGCGGATGCCTGAGGTTGACAACGTCTCCAAACGCAGCGAGACAAAGAAGTATAACTACGATTGCTACTACTAGTGCAGGCTTGTCTCCATCAATAGTTACTACTGTTACTTCCAGTACTACAAGTACTACTTGCTTGTTCTTTAATCCCACAATTGAAGCTCAACTTTTTGCTCCGTTATTCTGAAACAGAGGAACCACAGAAGTTATAAAGCACTAAAGTTGAAACAAAGACCCGCCTAGACTAGTATTACTACAGGTCTGCGCCCCCCCCGACAGCCCAAAAGCACGGAAGTAGGGATGTCGTAAGCGCCACGCTCCAGAAGTATCCGATGCCTTTGCAACAATGTGGGATAAATCCAAGGGTTCTATAAACACGTAATTCTTTTTATGGAGTATGGCATGAAAATGGTCCATAACAGTTGGAAAATATTCCCAGGAAAATCCCAGCGATGGGGCCAAAGTGTTGCCAAAATGAAGCTCTTGAGTTGGCTGTGACCCGAGATTGCAGCGTCAGCTGTGCTTCTGCTGTGCTGCGGTGCAGGTCACCTGGAATCATCGCCCGGCTTTTCAAAGGAACGTGACCGTCCTTCGCTGTTGCCTGGGTTGCTGCTAAAGAAAATCGATATAATCAAGCCACCATAATATGGGCATATCATAAATCATGAGGTTCCTTATCATAGTAACTTAATTTAGGCTCCTTAACAGCAACCCGGTTGCTTCTAAATTCCTTAACAGTAACCCGGTTGCTTCAACTGTGGCGGCTGGACCGCTTCTGCTCTCTCGACCTGAGATGGTCTGCGACTTGATCATGACTGTAGCCCAGATTCTCTAGGCAGGGATTAGGGTTTAGGGCTCTGTGGCACTTGGAGGTTCATGGGGTTTAGTAACTACTGATAAGTGGGCGTCTAACCATACTTTTTGTCCACCTATGTCCTTTTCGGGATGCGCCACGTAAAAGTAGCGCAATAACGCAGTCATACACCCTAAGCCCTAAACCCTAAACCTAAATGGCTATTAAGTACCTAAACCCAAAACCCTAAACCCTAACCTAACCGTGAACCTCCAGGGGCTACAGTCCACCAAGGCAAGCACCGCAGGATGCACAACGCCAGAAAGGCTGGGCCTGCCAAACTTCTTGGGCGGCTTGGGATTTAAGGGTTTAAGGGTTTAGGGGTTTGGGGTTCAAGGGTTTAGGGTTTAAGGATTTATGGTTTATGGGTTTAAGGGTTTATGGTTTATGGGTTTAAGGGTTTATGGTTTAAGGGTTTAAGGGTTTATTGTTTAAGGGTTTGTGGGTTTATGGTTTAAGGGTTGAAAGGGTTTATGGTTTAATAGTTTGTGCTTTATGGTTTAAGGGTTTACGGTTTTATGGTTTAGGGTTTATGTTTTAGGGGGTTATGGTTTAAGGGTTTAAGGAGTTTAGGGTTTAAGCGTTTCGGGTGCCTAAAGCTAAACCTAAACCTTGCCCGTCTTGAGGTTTAAGCTTAAAAATCTTCATCCCTTCCTGAGTCTAAACCAGAGGTTCGGATGCCAGCTGTTCCGGATATATGGGAGTTTTCAGTAAATAGGGATGACAACATACATCCCAACAAACTATAACTTTTGCTATAGATATACCCCAAAAAAGGATCCGCAAGTTGACAAAACCCCAAATTATACAAAGACTCAGCCCTGAACCCGAATCCCTAAAACCTAAACCCTAAAACCTGAACCCTAAACCCTGAACCCTAAGCCCAAAACCCTACTGTTGATACTAAAAATCCTGCATGACCTTAATATACCATAGTACCATAATTCCTATTATATAATGTACTTAGGGTCATGCAGGATTTTTAGAATCCACCGTAAGACTACCAAACCCAGAGTCTGAAAAACTCAGCCCTGGCCTCGACAGAAGGTATCGCTCGCTTCTCATGCCCCTGGGGCAAGACCTTAGGGTTTTAGGGTTTAGGGGCTTAGGGTTCAGGGTTTAGGGTTTAGGGCTCAGGGTTCAGGGTTTAGGGTTTAGGATTTAGGTTGTTTTTGGGGATGCCTCCGTTTTCTCCCCGAAATTCAACGACAAACAGAGCATAGGAATTAAGAGTAATAGTGATCGTACTAGTCGGCAATCCCATTAGGGCCTATAATGAAAACAATGTTTTCAATATTTCCTGAAGGTTAGTATTTTCCGTAAGGAACTAGGAGTAGTAACAGTAATAGTGAGAATCATAGCAGTAGTAAGAGCGATAGAAAAATAGTAGGCGGCAATCGTGCAGAATCAAATGGAAAAGACCACAGAAAATGGATTAAACCTCATCTAAAGCCTTGGTTCCCTGAAAAGAGATATATAGGGTTCAGGGTTTCTACTAAACCCGATCTCTAAACTCTAGAGTTCCCAGACGTGACATTCCAATGTGTGGCCATCGCATCTTGTCTGCATCTGGCAACCCAGACCCTTAAAGGATCCAAAAAAGGAACCTCTCAAAAAACCTGAACCTTCTTTAGTGACTATATGCCAGACCTTTTTTAAGGTTATATTCCCTAGAACCAGTAACCCAGACCCCCTTAAAGGATCCAAAAAATGGGACCCCAAAATGATCCGCATTACTACATTGCGGAGGCTAGAGGGTTGTTGGCAGGTTCCATTTTTGAACACCCTAAGCCCTCAACCACAACCGTAACCATATACCACATCCTTAAGGCTCCAGTTTTGGATCCCTAAATCCTGAACCCCTAATCCCCAAATCCTAAACCCTCATCCCTACACCCGAATCCCTAAACCCCAGACCCTAAACGGCAAACCCTAAACCCTAAACCCTAGAATCTATCCCCTAAGCCCCAGAAAATCTGAGTACGGTTCAGGTCCAGCACCGCAAGCGTCACATGGCCTTACAATATACCAGGTGGTTGATGCAACCCTGGGGCTTGTAGTCCTCCTCAAGTAGTGTTTGAGGGTTGAGGGGTTTGGTATAGGGGTTTCGGGATTAGGGTTTGGGTTTCGGGCTCAGGGCTTATGGTTTAGGATTTGGATTTTGGGTTTTGTCCCCCTCAGGTAGATAGAATCTAGAGTATGTGGCGGTCTTATTATGATCTTGGGCAATTCTCTATTCTATCTACTTAAGGGGGAAAACAACCTGAGCCCTGGGCAAGGCTCTGCAAACGTCTGGGCCTTGCAGCTTCTGTTGCACGTCAGCACCCAAAAAGCACAACAGCTGCGCTTCTTTTCATGCCTGCATTCTTCTGACTGTAGTTTGCTTAGACCAATAAAAAAACATTTTGAACATTTCCTTAGGGTTTTACTATACAACATTTAAAAAAATCCTAAGGACAGTACAGCTGATTTGAAGGCTCGAGCGACTGGGCAGGTGCTTGGGAAGCATTTCTGGGTTGTCGTGCAGCGGTGCAGCGTCGAATGGGTTATAACAACACTGCTCAAAAACCATAACAGCGGTAATGCTAGTGACGTTTATGAACCATCATGCCACTAATGAGACGGAAAATCTCAAGATTAAGACGGCATTGTTAATCTGAGGACTACTTCTAAGAATATTACTCATGTCCATAGTAGTATTAAAAATACAATATAAATGATGTCGATGATGGCATTTGTTGTTGCTGGGCTCTACCTCGCTACGCTTCTAGCGGCGGCAGCATCACTCTCCTCCTGCGCATCAAGTAGCTTACTGGTGGATAGCACGAAGGACTATACCATGTATTATATAGGGCCTATATGAGATACGGACTAAACTTAGGTTGGGGGACTTAAAGGGGACTATATAGGGTTTTGGGGAGGGACCTAATAAGGGATATACTACAAATTTAATCCTGGGCCTATATAGATTGGATTCTCTTATTCCCTGCTATCCACCAGTAAGGTAGTGTCAGCAACTGCCAGGATTCAGGGTATAAGCCTTAGGGTGTAGGGTTTGGGGGGTAGGGTTCAAGGTTTATACTCTCCCTTTAGTAGATAGAATATGGCTTTGGGTATATTACAATAACATCCCCATATACCCCATATTCTATCTACTTAAGGGGGACTATAGGGTGAGAGGGGTTGGGTTTAGGGCGCAGGGTGCAAACAGCTTCCACAGCATCCGTCCTTGCCCTCACGGTCGTTCTGGTCACACAGCCTCACTTGCAGCATGCGGCGGCTTGCAATACAAGCGCAGCGCAAGATTATCACGTTCCTCTGAGAAGCGCGCTCTCTAACAAAGTCGTGGTCGTAAGGGTACACCGGGAAGGGCCTGTCATCGCCACGCTCCTTCGCGGACAAGGTCTCTGGCAGGTCATCTTGGCAAGGATGCGTTTGCAGGTCCTGAAACATCTCGCAGTACTCGTACCACTCAGCGGCGCACTCGTCGACATAGACTAGAAGCGGGGCAGACATGTTTCACTTCACGCTTAGCAGGGCAAGAAATTCCCGGCCCAGCCTTCCATTGGATGTGCTGTTAGCATTTTCTGCCTGGTGACTGTGCTTTCAAGGGATCAAACATTCTCGTTCAGTACCTGGCCAGCCAGCCTTTTCAGCAAGGCGGCATTCTCCGGCAGCTCTGCCAGGCCAGGCAGGGTTCCCAAAGTCACCATCGTGATGGTGGCTGGAGCGGGTCAGGCGCAAACTTGTTACATTGGGATAATGGAAAAGAAAATGGCAACCACTATTTAGGGTGTAGGGTTTAGGGCCGGCAAGCGCAAGAAACAGAAAACTGGAGCATTCCCAAGCTTTTAAGAAAGGCCAAACTCCCAAGTTAGCTGAAGTCTGAGGAAAGCATTGGCCCCGAAGACTTCTTAAGCAAATATGGTCCCTATCAAGTAGATGGAAAATGGCATTCCTCAGGACCATAATCAGATCCCCATGTACCCCATATTCGATCTACTTAAAGGGGGCAAAACCCTAAATCATAAACCCTGATCCCTAAACCCTAAACCTGATCAAACCCTAAACCCTAAACCCTACTTAATGGGGACTAGGAGACGAACGGCTCTTGCGAGAAAGTAATTCCAGCCTCCTGCGCGCGGCTCAAACTGATAGGCAGGCCGACCCTTGCTGCTGTCTGCCTGCGGTTTGGGGTTACGGTTCAGGGTTTAGGGTTTAAGGTTTCGGGTTTGGGGTTCGGGGTTCAGGGTTTCAGGCTTAGGGTTTGGAGTGTGGGGTTTGGGGTTTAAGGTTTGGGGTTCAGGGCTTTTTTTACCACACCTTTTTCCGTCTGCACGGGTTCAGGGTTTAAGGTTTAGGGTTCAGCGTGTAAGGCCTTCTGGCGCGGCAGCATGTTGGTTTCCATTACCATGAGCATCTCACGAGGGTAATTGATGGTCCACTTCATTATCTCCTTAGCTGAGAGACGTCTCCGGGGTAATGTAGACCCCCGATAAGTAAACCCCCTCACCTTAATAGGGATCATACTAGGGACCCTAATGTTTAGGCCCTCAAAAGGAGGGGGTTAATTAATCAGGGGTCTACATCAATGTCTTTCTTGGCCATCTTTTGCCTTTCGCACTTCTACACAAAGGTGCTGCCTAACTAATCAAGTGACGTCTACGCAGTTCACAAATCCAGCAGTTGTGCTTAGTCCTCCTAGAACCCAAACTTGCAGAACCCATCGTCACTACAACAAAACATGCTTTTCAAGCGCACAGTTCCGCATTGGTGATAGCTGCAGGGGACAGCGACGTCCCGCCAAAGCGCCCAGCATCGATGCCCGGGAACTCACAGCAGACCCAGGTTCTCCAGTCTCCGTTTGCAAAGAAACCCACCATTTCCTTTAGGGGTTTAGGGTTTAGGGTTTAGGCTTTCAAGCTTAAGTCCCCAAAGTTCAGTCTATAAACTAGTTAATTACTACAACCCTTAAAGCCTTGCATATCCGTCTGCAATCCCTATATATATATATTCCTAGATGCATTTTAAGACTGCTACTGACAACTAATCAACCCTAAGCCCATAAAGCCTAAACTAAGTGAGGGGTCGC